CGTGCCCAAGATCCTGAGAGGAGAATGGAGGAGAAGGGATTGCAGCGTGACCATCCCCTCTGGGGGGTGATTTCTCGCTTTCTGTCTCTCTGTCTCTCTCTGTCTGTCTGGCGAGCGCACACGCCCTATAGCGAAAACCTCTCCAAAAAAAAGGACAGGATAGGGACCAGCAGTTGGCATAATGGCTATGTCTCTGGACTCCCATGTAGTCGACCGCGGTTTGCGTCCTAGATCCAGTGGCTTAAAACTCATGCTGGGCACATGTGCGTACATGCCTAAGATCCCGAGAGAATGGAGGAGAAGGGACTGCGGCATGGCCATGCCCCCTGGGGAGTGATTTCTCGCTTTCTATCTCTCTGTCTGTCTGACGAGCGCACACACCCTATAGCAAAAACCTCTCCAAAAAAAAGGATAACAGACCTTAAATAACAAAATTAAATTGTGTCCCTATTCATTAATATCTGTGGTTCCTTATTAGAAGCTAAAAATGTTTACCTTTAACTAATTTCTTGGAGCATATTTACTAACAAGATTATGTTTCTTTAAATTAAATAAAAACAATTAGAGCTTTTATTCACCAGAATGTTTTCATTCTTAGTTGTACACATGAATACCTACCTTCTGGTGGTTCATCACTAAGGTATGATGGAATTTCTTGTTGATTTTTATCTGCCTGATTCATGATCTCCTAAAAAAAAAAATCATACAGACACATTACATTTTAACCTCAATATGTGAAGCGACCTCGAATTACATGCTCAATTAAGACTCAATCAATTTTATTTGGAAAAACACTAAAACACCTACCACAAGACTATCGTACTTGATCTTGTTTCTCTCTTCCTCCAAATTGTCTGTTCCTATAGCACACTGGTTAACTCAACTGTAATTAATTTCACAACAGGCTTAAACAAAAATCTGTGCTGTAACTTAAAAAAGATGTTCTATCTGAAAAGTTCTGTTAAAAAAAAAAAGAAAAAAGACATCCCTTTCTCCTTGGGGGTGGGGAACACTACCAACCTGAACCAGTAAGATTTTGATGAATTTTTAAGTACTGTTCCTAGAGCTGCTATGAACAGAGGCAGAGACAGATTTTGAAATTTAATGTACGTATGTATATGCGTGTGTATATACTTTATATATATATATATATACTATGGTTATCTCTAAGAAATGAATAAAATAGACTATGTTGGAGTAAAGAAAACATAGTTAAAAACTTTCTTTTCCCTACTTCCTTTTCCATCTTACAATACTTGCTTTTGGGGCTGGACGGTGGCACAGCAGTAAAGGGACACTCTGCAAAGCTGACCCGCATGCACTTCTCTGAGTACACCAAGCACCTGAATGTTCATGACCCAGGACTGGCTGAGGCTGAGGCTGGATTGCGGCATCTAGGCCCTACTGTGGATCTGGGTCACATAGCCCTTGACACCATGGAGATTAGCTATTAGCCTGACTGAGATGAGGAACCAGTGAAAGGCACCCAAGAGGGGGGTGAGGTGTTCTGATTAAACTTTTTAAAAGATCCTTCTGGCTGCTATGGGAAGAACTAGCAACAAGAGAGTAAGAGCAGAAACAGCTCTTGGAGACTTTGAATAATCTAGGCAAAAACAAATTGTGGCTTGGATGAAAGTCAAAAGGTCATTTGACCTTCATGCCATTCATCTTGTTATGGCTTTAAAACCTCAATCCTGGGGACCAGCAGGTGGCGTGGTGATTGAGGTGCTGGACACTCCCACATGGCTGACCACGGTTTGAGTCCTGGACCTGGTGGCTTGCTTCCTCACTTTCCTCTCTCTTTCTCTGTGTCTCTCTGGCCAAATTAAAATGAATGAATGAATGAATGAATGAATGAATCTTCAAAAAAAATCCTCAATCCTATGTACAATGAGGTATCGCTGCATCACAGAATCAGAAGCATATGCGTGTCCAGTATCTTCTGATTGCTCTAGCAGAAACCCTGACTCCGGTCACTTATCAATAGCACCTAGTTTTACCCTGATCTGGTTTATGAATTTAGCAGACCATTCCACATACTTTGGATTTAAAAAATAAAGCTACTGTGTAATCTCTTCCAAAAACAAAAACAAAAATGTGTCAGCTGGTGCATTACTGGAGGGGCTCTTGATCAATCTGTCTTAATTTTAAACTCCCAGGCCAGCCTGTAGCGTGGTGATTAAGGCAGCTGGAGCCCACATGGTTGATGGCACAGTGCAAGTCCCAGACCTGGAAGCCTAAAAAATGCACCAGGCACCTGTGCATGCATGCCCAAAACCTTGGAAAGGCGGGAGGAACTGGAGAAGGGAATGTGGTGTGGCCATGACCCACGGGAGTGCTTTCTCACCCACCCCCACCTCACGCTGCCTCTCTCCAGCTAGCACACCATTTGGCAAAATTAAAAGAAAACAAAAGTCTCCCACAAACAAGAAAATTAATTTCTTTCCATTCATATTTCTATTTTCTCTGATTTATCATCATGATAAGTTCATAACAAATTACACAGCATGGTGGTTAAGGCTCTGGGATTAGAAAGCGTGAGTCTGATTCCCAACCTGACGATAAACTGTATGTCATAGGACAAATAACCTCAGTAGTTCCTTGCTTTTTAGGAGACTTAAAATAAAAATGAAAGAGATTCCAATCCTGGCCCAGCCTCAGTAGTGCACACCACTAGGGCACTGTGCTCCACACACTGGGCCAGTGTGGGAGGCCCGGCTCAATTCTAGGTCCAACCTAAAAGGAAGGACATGCTGTCATGCCCCTGCAATCCCACTGACTCAGGAACTGAAGCAGGAGGACTGAAAACTTGAGCCTAGCCTTGGCAATACAGCAAGCCCAAGCCTTTAAATCAGACGAAAAAAAGCAGGGCATGGTGGCATGTGCCTGTCCCCCCCAGCCGGGAGGCTGAGGCAGGAGTACCACAGCCACACCCGGTCTGGGGGCATTTGTGTATGTTTATATATTTTTCCTATGTGCACATATAAGTGTATACATGTGTACACACGTGTATAGATACACACATTCTAGCCCTAACCCTGAGGAGAGAATACTGCTTAACAAATTACAAGACAAAACGTGCAGAAATTCCTGGCAGAATGTGTCCCTTCCAAGGAATATGACTATTTTGGAGCCAGTCCTCCCCATTCGACCGTTAATTTCAAAAGGACAGACACCTCTGATTTGTTCATCACTGTAATTCCAGTATCTGTATACAATACAAATACACACAAATCCAGATCACATGCCTGATCCGCTCATCAACAGAAGCTACGGCACCCTACAAACAAATACAGAAAGATCATGCACACATACATCTTACATACGTCAGCCAGATTTTTAAAACAGGTGTGATCATGATAGTAATGCGTACATTTTAAAACTGTCCTTCTGGCCCCTACCCCACAAATGCCTACTAACAGTCTTACCTTTTCAACCTAATTCAGAATCCCTTAGGAAAAAAAAAAAAAAATGTTGAGTCAGTCCCCACTGCCGGGTGGTTGAGGGAGCTGGATCCCACATGGCTAACTGCACAGTTCAAATTCCTGCCCCCTGCAGTTGAAAACCACATTGGGGCAAGTATGCATGCATGCCTGGAATTCTAACAGAATGGAGAAGTGGAGGGTAGGGAATTATGGTGTGACCACATGCCACAAGCGGGGCATTCTCCTTCCCCCTCCTCTCTAGTGAGCACACACACTCCCTGACAATTAAAAAAAACCTTTACTTTCCTACATTATATCTACCTTACAATTTAAAAAAGAAAAAGACCACCATTTAGAAAGATTGGAGGTGATTTATAATATGATGGTGTAAACGTATATGCTAATTAATCTGAATATAAACTGACGTCATCCTTCTGTGGGCAAGCAATGAAGAGCTATGAGCAGAGTAACATAAATCTGCACTTTAAGAAGTTAACTGGGGGAGGAAACCAGGAGTTAGCGTAATGGCTATGTCGCTGGACTCCCACGTAGTCGACCGCGGTTCGTGTCCCGGACCCGGTGGCTTAAAACTCACACCGGGCGCGTGTGCGTGCGTGCCCAAGATCCTGAGAGGAGAATGGAGGAGAAGGGATTGTGGCGTGACCATCCCCCCTGGGGAGTGATTTCTCGCTTTCTGTCTCTAGGTCTCTCTCTGTCTGGCGAGCGCACGTGCCCTACAGCGAAAACCTCTCCAAAAAAAAAAAAGAAGTTAACTGAGGCTAGCAGATGGTGTGCGATTATGTTGCTGGACTCCTACATGGCCAACAGCAGTTCAAGTCCCAGACCTGGTGACTTGGAACCCACACCAGGGTGCATGTACGCATGCCCAAGGTCCCAGGAGGATAATGGCGAAGGGATTGCAGTGCAGCCATCCCCTCTGGGGTGTAATCTTTCACTTTCCCTCTCATTGTCTCTGTCTCTCTCTGGTGAGCACATGCACTCTAAGGCAAAAACCTCTAAAAATTTAAAAAAAAAAAAAAAGTAGTTAACTGAACCAAGAACAGATAGAAGAACAGAGAAATGAAATACAGTCAGTGGCTACTTTAGTAATCTAGTGGGATAGACTAACACTTTGAATTCTGCCAGTTTCTCCAAATAAATGTCTCGGCCAAAAACCTAGGAACCACCTGTGACTTCCTCTTTTTCCATACTCTTATCTAATCATCAATAAATTCTGTTGTCTAAATAAATCCACAAAATGACCACCTCTCCTCTCCTTGTCCGCCACTGAAGTCTATTCTTTTACTTGTAGCTCTGCAAAATCTCAGGTCTCCAAGCTTCCATTTTTGCTTTCCCTTTAGTCCAGCCCTGTCACACTCTGCTTCCAACTCTCTAACTGCATCCTGTTTGCTCAGAGTAAAATCCAGAGTCCTGACACCTTGGCCCCTGAGGTCAGACATCTAACCTGCATGGTATCACCCCCTACCAGTCTACCTCTTATTCATGCCACTCAGTTAAGAGAATTCCTTGTTTATCCTTTCCTAGAAAGTTCTTCCCCAAGATATGTACATGGCTTGCTCCCCAACTTAAGGTCCATGTGCGAATATCCCCTTATTGGAAGATCTCCTTTGAGTGTCTACCTTTCAATAGATGAACACCCTCTACCCGTCTCCCTTACATATTTCACCTAAACCTGCTCTATTTTCTTCAATCCACTTTTTTTTCCTTTTTTTAGAGAGGTTTTTGCTATAGGGCATGTGCGCTTGCCAGACAGACAGATAGAGACAGAGAGATAGAAAGCGAGAAATCACCCCCCGGGGGGATGGCCACGCCGCAATCCCTTCTCCTCCATTCTCCTCTCGGGATCTTGGGCACGCACGCACACATGCCCGGCATGAGTTTAAGCCACCGGGTCCGGGACGCGAACCGCAGTCAACTACGTGGGAATCCAGCGACATAGCCATTACGCTAACTGCGGGTCCCTTCAATCCACTTTTGAGAGAAAAGGAAGGCCTTGTTTTTGAGCAAGTTGTATTTGAGATGTCTTCGAGGGAGACACAGGAGATGGGTGCAAGCAAACAGATTGAAGAGAACAGAGACAGCAAAGGCTGAGTCACAGTTGAGGTTCTTAGAATGGCTTGAAGTGATAGCTAAAGCTGCGGGAAATGGGTGATACGATCACGGAAAAGTGTTTAGAAGTAGACTGAAACCTTAACTGGACTGCTCATATTTAAGAGGTGAGCAGAGGAGGGGCAAGCAAAAC